ACGTTTTGGTACCTGATGATGACAAAACCTTGTCGAAACGTTGTACATTTGCTGTTATGTTAAACTTATATTAAAGTTTTTCTTCATTACCCACTCAAGCCGTCTCCAGCCATTATTAACTTATTGTTTAATAGCTATCCATCCAGTAACACTTAATTTCTGTTTTGTTTGTATGTATTTGCATATTTGAAACTAATCATTTAATCAAAACCCAGCTAGTATGCAACCAATTACCACACCATGTAGTGTCTTCTTAATATAAATTAAATTTCTAAAATTAATCTTAAAAGCACATGTACTTCCAGTAAGAATGCATTATAAAAACACTGTGAATACCTTATATGTTTATACTAATTTGATGATATTACCAATGAATATGAAAAGTTTGACTGCATCACATAAAAGGAACATTAAAAATAGTAAAAATGAGTACAAGTTAATTCAATCATGAAAAACATGCAGAGACATTGAAAAGGATGTCCTGGAATTTCAAAAATAATGAATTTATTCTGTATAGTATTTTATTTTGAAGTTAATTCTTGAGATTTTCAGTTTTATTTTATAAATGTGTCCAATGCATCTTGCACTAATGGAGTAAAAGAAAGTAAATTAATGAACGTGTATGTTTGTAAATAGTACATTGACAAAAATGAACAAAAGTGGTGCATTATTAAAAAAACAACATAAAACCTGGCTTAATTCTTTACTTTACTAAATTGTTGTTGGAGCAGTACTCTCCCTAATCATATTTAATTCAAGTGATTTCAACTCAGTATTGACTATCATATTATAGAGTTCTGTTTCATATGATTTGTTAGTATTGTATTTTAAAAATTATGCATTTTTATTGGAATTGAATACAGAAACTGTAAGATTTATGTATATTAAACTTTACCTGTAGACATCAAGAACAATATATATATATGTGTTTTAATTGAGATAATGATATCATTAGTTTTATGTTGAAATATACGACAAATAGACTTTTAAATATAATAACATATTTATTTCATACATGTGTATATAGGTATGTGTCATTTATCAGCTGATTTCTTATCTTTACAACCTAAGCATTTGTAGAATGATTATTTTTGGGTTTATAAATACTTGTAATATGTAAATATTTTAACAAGTAAAACATATGTGTGCTATCTAACATGTTATTCAAACGATAAGAGATGTATAAAACAATTTCACTCTTTCTAATGTGTTATTAATGAAAAATGGGATGTACAAAACAATTTTACTGTCTAATATGATATCAAAGCAAAAGAGGATGTACAAAACAATTTCACTACCTACTCTTTGCTTTGGCTTATTGCTTATTATTATAATTTTATTACAAAAGTTGTTTTGCATTGTTTGCTTAATATATGTATTTAGGACTAACTTAAATCTGCTAAGCTGGCCAAACCTCATGAGATATATTTGAGGTTACAGCCAAAAATATCCTTAACAGGAATGGTACCCACTTGATGAAACAATGCATTCTAATCTTTTTAAGTATAAACATATAGTTAATTAGTTATTCTGATTGCCAGATTGACTTTTAGTTTCAGTCTAAGTGTATAACTTGCTGTGATTAGAAGTTGATATTGATATGCTACCCAAGCAAGAAGGGATGTATAAAACAATCTCAATTTATCATTTATGGTATCCATGGAAGAAGGGATGTATAAAACAATTTCAATTTATCTATTATGGTATCCATGGAAGAAGGGATGTATAAAACAATTTCAATTTATCTATTATGGTATCCATGGAAGAAGGGATGTATAAAACAATTTCAATTTATCTAATGTGGTATCCATGGAAGAAGGGATGTATAAAACAATCTCAATTTATCATTTATGGTATCCAAGGGAGAAAGGATGTATAGAACAATTTTGTAAAGTTAGTGTAAACATTTAGTGCTCTTTAAGATTTGAAAAATATGTTTTATAAATTAATGTAAATTATTTTGGTGTCTTTCAACATCAAAAGTTTTAATCTTTGAGTTTAGATATCTGTATGTAATGGGGAATAGGTGTGAAAATGTATCTTGTTTTATCCTTCCATCAAAATATGGACTGTTTTATACAAAATATATCAAACAAAATGACACTTATCAGTAATGTAATGACATTTCCATTTCTCTCCTAGTGACACAAAAGACAAGTTTTTAAGGGGTTTAAACAACTTACTTTTATTTTTTGTGGTTATATGAACTTAGGAAATAATATGTTTGTATTAAACAGTGGTTAGAATTTGACACTATATTATACATGTTGATTTTTATTTAAAACTCTGCACATATAAATAAACAAACATAAATAATACATGCAGTAAAACATTTGTAAGTGTTGTTTAATACTTAATCTCTTAGCCATTGTTTCATCCTTTTCATTTACCTTTTTTTAAGTTTTATCGTAAGTAAATATTTGTATTTCTAAAAGTAATAGTGTTTGTAGAAGTATTGGAATTTCACTGCAAAAGTTTGTGTGTGCATGCACTAATAACATAATTTCATTGTTTACTAAACTCTTAATTTTTGTGAAAAAGTTCAAATAATGTTTGAACACAGATGTAAGTAATACTTTACAAAAAGTGTTTTTCTTCCTTGTTTGTGGCTTCATATGTGAATTGTTTTTTTAATTTAAAGTAATGAGTTAGTGTATTCTAAGCTTGAAGAAAGTATAGAACCGTAGACTTAACATTCTAAGTTAATAGAACTAATTCTTTGCTCATGTGCACTCTAAGCAGTCAGTATCTGTTTATCTATTAATCTGTGTTTGTGTGTCTGGTGTCACAAATTGTTGAGAGCAACTGACTGAAACAATTTCAGTAAAGTTTGGTAAAGAAACTCTTGTTGAACCCCATAAATAATGTAAATGGATAAGGAATCAGACAAATCACTTTAATTTAACAGCCATTTCAATTTTACTGCCTTAATGCAGTGAACGAGGGTTTAGTGTTTAATGGAGCACATAGCACTGGTGTCTTTATGTCAACGATTAATTGATGTGCTATTTTTCAAAATAGTGGAACAGGCAACCATTATATAGCATTACATTTCATGTCCTGCATTGCGAGTACCTTTTACTAGTTTTCCATGATTATGCTCAGTTTAATACCTGGTGATGTGTATCTTTTTTGTGGCATATCATTACAACCTTAGAATTTTCCTTTTGATAATTATGTATGTGATATTTAAAAAACTTCAGTTATCAAGGATAGTAGTAAAATGTGTTTGTTCAACACTTCAATGCAAGTGTGAAATTTAGTAGTTGTGAAAACTTGTTTTAAATTAAACATAAGTATTTATAGTTGTGAATTTTAGTTTTAATTTGTATAGACTGTTTCTTGTTGACCGATCTTATACATATGTAATTATTTACATTCCAGAATTTTTATAAGTATAGTTTTAGGCTTTATCATTATTTACCTAATATAACTGAACATTTCTAATATGCTGATTCTCAATGCACTGTTTAGGTTTTGTTTTTTATAATCACCAATTATTTTTTTAATGATATTACAGTGGAGCAGTGAATAAATGTTAAAATATTGTAATGCATAATAATAAGATGAAGAATGCAATAGTTTTATAGTTTAGGGATAAAATACTTGGTAATTAAAATCTTGCTCTAATATGTTTTAAATGACAGGATAGTGACAAGTCATGAATGTAAAGTTTTTGTATAGCATAAGCTCTTCTGTTGTAATATTAATGTTTTTGGCAAAGCTCTTTGTATTTTAACATCATGTAGCTTTGTACAACTTTTGACATATGTATGTATTTTTTACTTGTTTTGATCACCCTTTCAATTTATTTGTGATCGATCATCCTGCTTTAGTCGTTTAAAAACGGCATTCCTTCTTTATATCAACCTGTCATGTAGCTCTATCCTCATATCTACTTACTTCAGTTTCCTATCGGCCTGGAACTTTCACTCTTATGGGGTCCTCCTCTGCCTTCAGGCCCCTTGCTTCTTCTCATAGTGCACCATCTAATGGTAACCAGAGTCAACAGCCTGATGCAAGACCTGGTACTTGGTCTTCAGGTATAGGTATGGTGCATGCCTGCTACTTCTTTGATGACAGTCTTTTTTCTTTTAATATACAACTTAGATTGATGGTTAAAAATACTAATATACGTATATATATATATAAGAGAGAGAGAGAGAGAGAACCTTTATAATGCATATAAGTTAAATTTTCGATATCTATTTTAAGAGATGTGTTTTGTTTTGTATTATTTGACATCATAAAATATACATTTATTTATATAGTGCTTGGATTAAGCTGAAATACAAAACAGTCAGTTAATTATTTTGAAGTCTGAAGTAAAATGTTATTGCCTACATTTAGTATATAATTAGCAAAGACGCTTCAGAAAAATATTTTCAAATTTACAGTTACGAAATAATTACTTTATATTTATTCTGCAGAATAAATTTATGTAATGTATAATGTGCATAAAAGACTGCAACATGAAATAATACTAATGTTAGTTGTATAAACTCAGTTTGTGTTAACAGAAGAAAAACGTTTCTCTAAATGTTGAATAAAATGCCAGACAGTTGCGATTTCCATATACCCAATGATTCATAAGTTATTATTATTTATTTTATGTACAATGTACAAAAGAAGTAATTACAGTATTGTTATTATTAGTGCTCACTCAGTAAATCATTCCATATTTAATACCATTCAAGTAAGTGAATAATGTAAAAGATATGATGCTTTTACTTATAGTGATAAAATGCTGAGAGACAGATTGATAACATGGACAAGGATTGTTGGGAACAAATAGGCATTGATGGTTAGATAGGCAAATTACAACTATAGTCAGTAAAGACAAAACAATTTATAATTCCAAAATATTACAAACTGCTCAAAAAATACACGGACAGCATTCCTTTAGTGATTCATAAATTTGATAACATAGTTATACCATTTGTAGTCAGAAACACACTTTGGTAAGAGTCAAGCTTTTATCAAAAGCAACTAGAAGACACAGATGTAATAACAATTGCTCCACCCATATAAATAAGCTTAGTATTTCAACATAATTTGAGCTATAGTGGTTGAGTAAGTTGTATTAAAACAATTTTGAAGCCTCACCAAAACATTAAAGTCTCTACGTCCAGTTATGCTCTATCTGATGACCGTACATCTTAACAATAGCTCCACAGCATAGTTTCCATTGTGAAAGGCTCGGTTTTAAGACAGTCATAACCAAAGCTTTCAATAAACCATCTAGTGTGCAAGAACGATGGTTTCCCAATTGCCATTTCAACAATTCTATCATACAAAAATCTATAAGCACTACATCTGGCAACTTGACCTTTATGTCTTTGTGTGGAATAGCATGAATACACATTTCATTCTTCAGCTGCTTAAGGTATACATCAGTTGAACGAATATGACTTATATTGCTTTCCCAATCAGAAAATCCTTTTTGATTATGTTGCGTACTGTTGCCTGGGGCTTGTGTACGGCTTCTGCCACATACCTTTCTCACTTGTTTCAAAACGCCGTAATTTGTTTACCACGGATTGAATACGACATATTGTAGGTCTCTTTCCTCATGGTTCTGGTGTCTTAAGTTCAACTGTATTCCTTTGCTTTCCAATGTCATTAAGTACAATGGGATATTATGTCTTGGAAATTCCAAATCCACTTATCTTAACATATCGTAATATCTGAATGTATAACTATTTTGTAAAGGGTTACTGTTACATACCTATCCCCAAAAACGGTCAGTTTTCTGCGGCATCATACAAACAATGTCAAAATGTAGTTATGATACGTCCCATTCCACCGTGACTTTATATTGGTAATGGATGTCATGTGACTTGCTGATTTGGATATTAAAAATGGTTTTAAAATAACTTATTCAACCTTGTATATGATAGTCACGTCTGCAAGATACTGCTCTGAACTAAGCCCCACGTTTTTTCTGTCTTCTTACTATGTGAAAACACGTTCATTGTATACTTGAGAACAACTTATACTTCTGAAAACGATGTATTATAATAAGTTTGAAATGGTTTTTGCAGACATGATTTTTATTGTAAATACTTGTAAACAATTTTAGCAAAATAGCCTCCAGGTGACTCAGCGGTAAGCTAAAAGTTTATAATACTAAAAATGCACATTGCAGATAGCCCATTGCGTTTGATTGTTTGTTTGTTGAATTTCTTGGAGAGCTACTCCAGGGTTATCCGCACCAGACGTCCGTAATTTAGAAATGGTAATAGATTAGAGAGAAGACAACTAGTCAACACCACCCACCTCCAACTATTGAGCTAATACCAGTGAAAAGTGGAATTGGCCAAATATTATAACGACCCCACGGCTGAAAGGATGAGCGTGTTCGATGATGAGATTAGAACCCGCCGATTACTCTTGAATACAACCAAACAAAAAGTAGAAGAAAAATTACCACTCCATTAAACATTGAATACTTTGAGTGAATCTTAGACATTTCAGTATGACGTTAAACTTTTTTGCACTGTCCCTCAGTTGGCTTGGCAGTAAGCATAAGAACTTCTAAACCTGAACTCTAACCCATTGTTCAGCTTCACGCTTGAAACTAAACAAACAAACAAATGATCAGTTATGCTATAACTGTTAGAGGCGTTTAGGAGGCATTATTTTAATGTGACGTTACAAAAATAATAGTTTAATCTCACTTACTTAGAAGTTCATCTGTAACGTAGTTTCCAAACATTTGTGAACTAGGTTATGAAAGAAAAAATAAATTTTAGTAATAATTTTATGTTTGACAAAATTTTACGTTAAGAAAATTTGCAAAAAGAATGAAATAAAAGGATTATAAGACATAAAAGTAACGATTTGTGTAGATTCTTATTATTTGTTTTTTATTTAAAGTCTTTTATATGAACAATTTAAAAGATTTTTTAGGCCTGAAAAAATAAACCGCGGAAATGATCAAATTTATTTGAAGTTAAACACAAAGTGTCATCTGTGCTCTGCCCACCGCAGGTATCGAAACCTGGTTTCTAGCGTTGTAAATCCGCAGACAGGGTGATCAAGTAGTCCTGTCAAATTGACCATATCCCTGACCTGAAATTTTCCTTTTTTTTTTTTTTTTGTCGAGAAAACGATATTAGCGTAACCTTTTAAGGATGATGCCACCTATCTGTATCAATAATTTTAATACTGTAATCGAAAAGTAGGATTTGACCTTTACTATTACAGAACACTAACGGCCGTAAAATATAGTGCGAAAATGTGCGACATCGGGACGTAAACCAGGGATCCTCTTATATACAGTCTGACACTCTTACCTCTTATCAGGATGCCGAACATCGTTATTCGAAAGTTTAGTTCAGCTTTTTTGAATTATTTTCTCAGCGAATGCGGTTTTTAAGTTAAGATTCCGAAATATGCGTAAATAAACAGTATGTTGCCTATTTGTTCATAAGCCACAAACATATTTTTAAACATCCTTTATTAAACTGTGTCCATTGTGGAATCGAATCTCGGATTTTAGCATTGTAAGTCGTTACTGTCCGCAGACTTACTCAGGACCGGACTAAGGTTTCGTGGGGCCCTAGGCCCAGGTAATAACTGGGAATAATAATAATGATAATAATAATAACAACTCACTTTTGCCTCTATTCTGCTAGTTTTATGAAGCATAATTTTTTTTACTTAGGTGGCCGGTGGGGCCCTAGGTTCAGGCTTAGGTGGCCTATGCGTTAATCCGGTACTGGACTTACCTGTCCGACCAAAGAACTAAACGGTTTGTTTCAAAATTCTCGTCCAATACTACACATAGGGCTATCTGCACATAGCAGTCCTTAATTTTGAACTAACAGACTAGAGGGAAGGCAGCTAGTCAACAATACCCACCGCTGAATATGCCTACTCGTGACTGACAGAATAATTGAATTTGACTATTACACTTGTAGCTCATCTACTACTTCAAAGTGCGGGTATCGAAACAGGAATCCCGGGTACACTTTCCGGGCACATTAGCCAAATTTATGCATATAAATGGAGGATATACATACGTGGCTATCTTTGATAATGAACTATTCAGGCTGAAATTTAGAAAATAACTGCTTTAAGTCAAGTCCAAGTAAAATCCATTAAAATTAGTAACAAAATCTGAAACATAAAAATACAAAAATCTATATAATTTTCTATCTTGTTTAAATGTATTAAATATTCTGATAATTGTATTCAGCATTTGGTATCAGGAACAAACGACACAATTACGCTTTAAAATCTCTCGTGTTTGAGAACTATTTTTCATGCTCAGTGAAAAAATTATCATTACCACTCTTGATCCCCCCTCTCCGGCTTTACAATGCTAAAATCCGGGTTTCGATTTCCTGTGGTAGAAGAGCACAGACATCCCCAAAATTCCCCTTCCCCAGTGGGTTAACGTTAAATTTCCAGCCATATAACGCAAAATCTGGGGTTTGATACCCTGCGGTGGACAGAGTGCAGATGTTCCATTTTGTAGTCTTGTGCTAAAATAAGCAAACAACAACTTAAATAAAATGAAAAGTCATGGTGAAACCTTGGCTGTTTTATTTTTTTCTCTTATTGATAGTATCAAGATGTTTTTGGTAGACTTATAGTGATTCAAGCGGAGAAAGTATAAGTTCGTATAATTAACGTTTATATTTCTTGTGTAGTGTATTAAGAGTTATAAAGAACAATTATACCAGTACCAACTATTTCTTCAACAATTAATTTTAGTTTCTTGGGAAAGCTTTTTTCTTCTTTCCCATAAATAATTAATAACACAATATTTGTATTTGTATGTTGTATATAACTTCGTTGTGAATTTTTTTTTTTTTTTTCAAATGTAATTTTAAGAAACCATCAGTGATTTGAAATTGTAGCTAAGTTCCAGTGGATACATATAAGAATCTTGGATAATAAGTTGTAAATAGTATGGACCAGACATGATAGTTAGATTACTAAGGCTGTTCTATACTCGGTATAATGTAGCAAACGTTTATTAGTGCAGAAGATTGCTTATTGAAAGATTTAAAAATAATTTGTTAAATTTCTCGCGAAG